CGGTTCTTGGGAAGCAGACAGACCGCCTGTGCCCGGCGGCCCGGGGCTGATTCCAGGGCCCTCGAGGGCCGCGTCCCGCAGTGACCCAGAGGCCGCCTCCGAACCTGCGGTCCGGCAGAGCTGCTTTTTGTTACACGTTTGGAAACAAAAAATTAAAAATCCCCGAAAGTGACATCGAAGCGATTTTCCAAAGATAAAATGCTCCTTCGGTCATCTGAGTGTGTCCTTTTGATCGTGTTATTTTGTAAGATCAGCTCCGACTCCCTTGGTTATGTCATGTTTGGGAGCTCAGGCCAAGGAATCTAAAAATATATATTGAATTATTTTTTTTAAGAAATGGTCTGATTCCCATAAACATTTTAAATCCTCGGTTTTCTTCGTTTCAAATATAAATATTAGATTTTTGAAATCGGAAATAATACTTCTCAAGTTTAAAATCTGGCCAACTCTTTTTTTAAAAATATACTGTATACTTTTTAAAAATTCTATGGTAGCTACACAATTGAAATTATACAAAAAAGACTTTTAAAAATCTACCATTTTCATAGAGAGGGGAAGTCCTGGATGTTTGTATCAATACCTAAACACTATGGAATACGCAATCACACATAGTTATGTCCAGAGCAAATAAATCAGTGATCATTTTTAAGAAGGTCATAAATAAAAGGCGATGCCCGTGCTTAGGGTCTCGGAGCAATTTGAAAACGGCTCCACTTCCAGTTAAATTTGTCCTTTTTACTGCAACTTTTGCCTTCCCTTTGAAAGGACGACAAAAAGATTTCACGCACAACTTGACCTGAACAAAAGGACCTCACGCCGGTTCATCTTTCGTGGGGTGACACCGGGGGAGAGGAAAACTTTATTCCCAGCACACTCGAGCTGTGTTTTCCAAAATCCATGGTCAAAAGAAAGTGGATGGCAGAGCCACAGAGGCTACAGGGATGGGAACTGGACGTCCTGGGAAAGGAACGGGAAGCCCATTCAGAGCAAAGCCATCCCTGCTCTTCGGCTACCAAGTAGCTTTGTTCCAGTGCCACGTTATTTTCGAGAAAAAGTCGTTCTTGAAAAGGCGTTCTTGTGAGAACACCCAGAAGACGCCCTCTGATCTTCACAGGTTCGAATCCTCACATTCCCCTTCGCTTCTTTGAATTCGATTTTCCCGGACAGAGTGACATTATGTCTCTCACGGCTTCCACAGTGATAGCAGCCACGAAAACAGAACCGAAGTGGGGAGGAGGGCAGATAAGGTTCTGTGATGGGCCCCGAATTCTGGCCGCAGTCCCAAAACCCAGCCCCCCAGGACAGTGACCTCCTGCGGGGATCAGAGGCCCCAACACCCACTCCTGCCCAAAATCCTCCCTCGAGGTGGCCAGGAACGCCAGAGAGGGCAGGGATGCGTGCATGCATGCGTGTGTGCGTGTGTGCGTGTGCGTGTGTGCAAGTCCCTGAGGACACAAAACTCCAACAGTTCTCTATCTATAGGAGTGGAGGGGGGTGGTGTTGATCAAGGTGGGTGACCTAGTCCCTGGCTTTCTTCAAAACTAGGCAGGTGGATGTGCCAGCAGAGTATCTCTGCAGTGCTCCGTGTTCTGGATGCCTCTCTGGACTCCAGCCCCTGAAGCAGGTGTCAACGCTCTTTGGGGTGGGGGTCTTCTCCTCCCTCCCTCAAGACTGACCATCCCACGCCGGGTGGGCTACTGAGGCTGTGGTAGGGCTTGCCCCCAGCCCAGCCACCCCTGCTGCCCCACTCCCCACTTTTGAATCTAGGCACTAGGCTTGGGGCTCTAGAGGGAAGGCTCTCCCCCCCCCTGCCACCAAGAGGCCAGCTGAGGGTGAAAAGAACACTAACCAACTCCAACTCTCCCCCCACCCCGGCGCAAAGTGTTCTTTGTCCGCCAAAAAGTTAAGGGCGGTCAGTCCCTTGCCAGCTCTGCCAACTAACCTGGCATTTTCGATTTTTAACAACATTCACATGGAGGAAGGACTACTTCCGTCTCATCACCTGGACAACTTATTTTTTTTTAAAAAAAAAAAACAACTTTCCTAGATTCAACCGAAATCTAAATGTGTCAATGAGTTTCTGAGCTGAGAGGCTGAAGGGAGTTCGTGGAGCTTTGGTTTTAGTTTTCCTCTCCCAGTGCTCAGCTAGCCCTAGCTTTCCAGCAGAGGACAATTGAAGCTAATGGAGATATCAAACAGAGCCAGAATTCCGCAGGCTCCCTTTTCACCACCAGCACCCACTGTCCATCTGCAAGTGTAAACACAGAGACCTGCGGTGTCTTCATCACCAGGGGCCCCGGAAAAGGGGAAGACAATTCTGTTCCGTTAAAAGGCACCCTCTATTATCACTTATTATTTGTGTATAGCAACATAAGAATTTCTTCCTCCTCTTGGAATTCCCCCACAATATTTAAACAGCATTTGTCGTCCGATTCGTACAAACGCTTGAGGCCTTTCTGGAAACCCATTTCCATTCAAAGGCTAGAAAATTGCTCTCCTTCCTTTAAAAAGGTGGTGGGGGGTGGGGGGAGGCGCAGCAGCGGCAGCTACAACGGACAACAAAAACAGAAACTTTCTCCTGCATAATCCTGGCTCACGAAATGACAAAGAAAAGATATTGACTTACCCCTGAACGGATGATGTGTTTGATAAGGGGGGGAACTTTTTTGAAGATTTCTGTTCGGGAGCTGCACAGACAGCTGCAATTCATGGGCGATGCTGATTGCCAGAAACGCTATAGATTGGCATGGGGTCTGCAGCTCACAGATCCTGATCAATACCCCTACACTCACACGCCAGATGGTTTGGGGAAGGACAAAAATAAAATAGTCCAAATCAACCCACCATTATGTCTTTTTGTCGTGCTCAGATAAACCTAGTTGTAGCACAAATGTGCTCTGCTCAACACAAAACCTTCTCCAGCATTTTGAACATGTGGGTGGGAATCAGCAGCCCTTGTCTTTCCGGGATTTGGGTTGCGGTTACTGTTGTTTGGTGAAAACAAAGCTGTAGGGCCCCTTATCCAGACTGGGTTTACTTGTGGGCTGTTTATTTTTGTGTGTGTGAATAATTTATAGGGTCTCTGTTTTAATTGAATGTCCACTGCTTTCTCCCTCTTAGAGCCTAAAAACAATTTAATGTGAAAACACATAGGAAAAGTAAAAAATTCCAGTAAAAATGTCCAGTCTTTTTCTGCAATTGCTAGCTCAAGTTCAGATTTTTTTCCCCCTTTATAGTACAATAGGTTTTACATTTGTCTTCAAAGCTGCATTTTATGTAAAGGCTTCTTTTGACCCATTTAAGTGTTTGATCTTAAAGAAAATCAGACCTGTGGATGTGGCACACCAAGAAATGGATGTCCTGCCCCTGATAAAATGGCTAGTGCAACTGTTTGTCCAGATTCTACTAGTCATGAACTAGCTCTCCTGCTACCACATTGCTGTATAGTCTATTTGCGAATCAAATGCCGAGGGGAAGGGGGGAAAGGCATGTAACTTCAAATTAAAAGAAAAAAGTCTGAGTCGAAGAACTTGTGAAGCCTAGTGTTTATGTCCTAAACAAGGGGCAGTTAGAAAGCTTTTTTATTTTCTTAAAGAACAATAGAAAAAGAAACATCAAAGATATGTTAAAACATATTTGAAAACCTTATTAGTACTGATGTTCTTAAAATTATCTTCAAGTAGGAAATAAATATTTTTCCTTTTTTTTTTTTTTAGAAAGAAAGGGAAAAGGGCACGCAAACCTAATTCAGTAGAAAATTAGGAGGTTGACTAAACATATCCATTAATTTTCCTTTTAAGTGGGTTTTGGTTTGAAATATAAAACCTCAAACCACCATTAGAAAAACAACGTGAAAAATCTGCTTTAATCTACCCCAATGAAATTATACACAAAGAAGCCAATACTATTTCATGATTTCCCTGAGATCGCCAATATTGATCGAGCGAAGGGGGAGCTACGGTGGGAGAGAGGGAGGAGAAAGGGAGGAGGGAGGGAGGGAGCTAGGCAGCGAGAATATGCAACTCACCTTTCAACTCCCCAGTACTTGACTGCTCCCAGGCACACCGAAATGCAATTCCTAGGATATTTATCTTGATAGCCTGGTAAATGAGTTTTATCATTTTGAAAAATTATTGAAATGGCAATTTGTATATTTAGTTTTCTGTATAGAGGCACTGCCTATCAATGCCCAAGCCTGGGGTCACTGCTCTTTGAGGCTGAAGCCAGGGCAGAGGAAGCTGCTTCAGCCAGGGCATGCCAGATAGACTCCTTCCCCCACCTTGCACTTTTATTGCCTTTTGTTCAATTCAGTGTATTTTTCTAATAATAACTGTTTCAAATTATTCAAAGTGTCCAGCTGCCCTATATAAGGTGGGGTGTGGGGAGAGAGACAGTAGGAGAGGGTGAGAGGGAGAGAAAAGGCAGAGAAACAGAAAACTGAATTATTTCACCGGTCTGTTTTGTGACATTACAGAGGTGAGCATCCAGAAAAATGTGTCTACAGTCCACTTTCCTACCCAGGCTTTGATATTACAGAGAAGCAGCTATTTGAAATAATAATTGGTAAGGTATTGTCCGGAGCTCAATAGTAGACCTGTGAGTAACATCACTGTACATTTCATGTGACAGGATGGTGTGGGATGGGGTGGGCTTGGGAGGCTCTATAGCTAGAAGAGAGGAGAGCAGCCCTAAAAGGTCAGGGAGTCGAAGAACTATTTTCAACCCTTTCTCAAGCTCCTGGAAGGCACATACAGTATTCCAGACTGTGTCCTTGTTTTCCTAGCAAGTTTTCTCTAACAGCTGGAAGTGGTTGGAGGGGGCTGTCTTAAGGAGACCCCCTGCTCTTCTTTTTGACAGCTGATCAAAAGAAAATAGGTCACGCTTCTCAAACTTATGTCCACCCTGTCCTTAATTACTGTCTCTTTAAACAAAGGCAACATCTGCGCAACCTCAGCTAGCTTGAATCTTCAGGAGGCAAACAGCCGCAACCTGCTTTGGAAGAAACTGCTACTTTTAAGGCTTTCAGTGTCCGGTGGCTCTGTCTTCAACCACCTCTCTCCATGCCCCCACCCAGGCTGCAGAAACCTCCACCTTCTCTCGACCCCACTCCGGGGTTACTGAATAACGGAAATTCTAGGTAAAAGAAGGTGTACTTTTTAAAGCTGCGGCTTGAGAGCGTTCTAGAACTTGCCGGGGCTCTTCTGGTCTTTTCAGAAACAAGGTTTGGATATGCCAATGTCTGCCAAGGCTTCCTGGCATCTACCACAGCCCTAATCCGGGGTGTTCCTCTCCCGGGATTCGAGAGGTGTGTGCGCGCGCGCGTGTGTGTGTTTGGTTGGGGAAAGATCCACGGGTGTCGTCCCAGACGGTTTACATACTCCCTGCCCCTGGAGAAGTTTGCTCACTTTAGGCAGCGGCAACAATCTTGCCGCAACACCCACCCCCCACCCTCTTCCACCCCCACACCACCACCGCCAATTCTTAAATTAACAAATCTCTAATGAGGCAAGCATTTGGTCACATTGAAACCGAAGCTCTTGGAGTTCTAGCTTTGTTTTGCAATCTAGCAGGGCCCTTCTGAAACCTCATAACAGGGAGATTTATGGGCTCGCCAGATAATTAAATGATATTATTGTGTTAACTTTGCATGCACGACCACGGGCCGAGCCGCCTGTGGGCTTGCTGCGTCCGCCTGCCGCAGCTCTCAGGCGGCGAGGGCGCAGGAGTTCCTCTCGGGCGGTGGACGGAGCACGCCCCAGTCTCGGGAATTTGCCCTGCATTAGAATACCTCGGCGCCTGCATTTTAAAATGCTAAAAACTACTGGCTCCCAGCTAGGGACGCTTGGGAAGTGGCTTGCTGAGACCTGTGTTTGTTTTTACACCAGCAAGTAGCGGAGTCCTCTCCTCCCAGCTTTCGAGCCTCGAAAAAAAGCTCTGGGGTGAAGCGAAGGAAACTAAAAGCAAGGCCCTTTTCCCTCAGATCGCAGCTTTTGGTGGGGGCGGGGGGGGAAGGGGGGAGACACAGCGCGACATCTTTAACATCATTTCTGCTCCCCGCTCGCACTCTTGCCTCTCTCTTCCTCTTCTACCCCTTCTTCCCCTCCCTCCCTCTCTTTGACGTTTGATTCCAGTGGCAGAGGAGAAAAAAAAGACAGAGCCGTCAGCTTTTGCTGTGCAGAAGCTTTTTATTTTGATGTAGTCCCATTTGTTCATTTTCTCTTTAGTTTCAAGTGTCCTAGGAGCTGTATCAGTGAAGAAATTGCTTTGGCATATGTCTGAGATTGTGCTGCCTGTGGATTCCTCTAGTATTTTTATGGTTTCCCATCTTATGTTTAAGTCCTTTATCCATTTTGAGTTTATTTTTGT